GCACACCTTTAATCCCAGCACTTGGAAGGCAGAGGCAGGCGGATCTCTGAGAGTTCAAGGCCAGCCTGGTCTACATACTGAGTTCCAAGACAGCTGGGGCTACAGGGAGACCCTGTCTCAAAAAGACCAAAAAAAAAAAAAGATGTTGACGGTACCCAAATTATAAACTTGGCCTTTGACTGCATCATCAAAATACCCATATTTATCCATATTTATAAATCCATACATGTGCATTTTAATTGGACATACATGCCAAAATAAAAATATAACCAATAATTTTGTGTACAATAAAAGGATGAAAAATTGAAGTTTGCTTTAAAATTGTTTTGATGGAAGCAACATATGATGACAATTATAGACACATATGACAGAATTATGTGAGATCTCAACACATGAGAAAACTTATAGACATATATGACATAATTACATGAAATCTCAAACAACATATGAAAAGTGATTATCACAAACACATACGACATAATTACATGAAAACTATGTGTACCCAAAACAATAATCAAGTTTTATTAGGATGATCTTTTGAAAGTAGGCACTCGTCTTTTAAATCTGGACAGGAGGAGAACACCCCTTCAATAACCTCCTCGCAGCTATGGAGCTGCTCTCCCTCCTCTTCTGGTAAGTATGTGACTTATTTTAGGTTTCAAGTAGCCTCCATCTGGACTTGAGAATTTTTCCCCAGCATGGCCTAGTATCAAGCCACTCAACTCCACAGAAAGTTCTCAGTCTGGAGGGTCTCATCTTCATTTTCATGTGCATGAACAATCATTCAGAGTTTAAGACAGTTGTTCCCCAGTTAGTCCCCTTAAATGCCTGTTTAAATGCCAGTACCACCTCGGAATCACATCAGGGTTAGATTTCCTGCCTGGTTGGAGATCAGTGCTACCTCAGAATCATGTCAAAGCTTCAGATGCAACCTCTTTCGGGGATCAGCCCACTCTGGCTCCTATCTTTGTAACCCAGGGGTCCTTACCTAGTCTAGATGTCCACTGTGGTTCTCTGACTTATTTCATCTGGTGAGATCACCAGTAAAGGGCCTCACAGTTCTCTTTTGTCTCTTGGAAAGGGACCCCAGAAACCCTCTGGGGCTCCACGCTTCTCTGTTCTAGTGGCTTCAGGAAGGCTGCAAGGTACAGGAGCTGCAGCCTCTACAACCAAAGGCATATGGCCTGATCTTGCTGGGAGGCCTCCAGAAATGTCGCTGAAACTTCTGATAGTTAAGGGACTAGTAGCCAACTCAGGTGAAGGAGAGGGAGTTATTTACATGATTGGGCTGACATGTGGGTTGTTCTCTAACGGCACCAGCCTCAAGCTTGTTTGTAGAGAAATTTATAGTAAGGAAGCAAGTAGGGTGTTCTAGAAGTGTTAAGTTAAGCAAGTGGTTACACATAAGCGCTTGGTTACAAAAGACCACAAGAATGCAGCAGTTTAGCAAACAAAGATTTCAGTGGTACTTAGACTGGTAATAAACTAGAGGGGGCAGGGGCAGATTCCTGTTTACCTTCCTCATTCTTATTATTTCTTCTTATCTTAGTTCTTAGCAGCCATGTTATTATTAGTAAAAAATTTTGCTATCATAGAACAAAGACCAAATTTAGAGTCCTGGTGTTCTCTGGGGTCAGAGGATCAAAAGGACTACTTAGGCCCCTGAAGCACCCAGGTGGTTTTGGATAGATTTGTGGGCTTTGGACTACATCCCTGATTCCCACCAGCAGAGTCTGGTGAGAAATGTCCAATGCTCAGGAGCAGTCAGAACCTGAGGTTTTTCAGAAAACATTGGCATGACTGGACACAGGGCCCTCATGGCCTTGCACCTATTCTGAGATCCAACCCACGCCCCTGGATCCCCTGGTCACTGACTGCAATCAGGGGAGTAGGGACATTGAGGCCCTTAACTCATTTGAGGAAATAGAGGGAGAAAGAAACCCAGTGCAGCATACACGGGGGTGGGAGAGAGACAGTGGCACCCTCATTTCAAGGAAGGGTATGTGGTGGACATCTTTTTAAGGTACCTAGAGGCAGCAACAGAACAGCTCCTGTGACCATTCCAGCCACAGGTCCTGCATGTCCTCCCTTCAGGGCACTGACAGGACTGGGGCTCAGGGTAAAAGACAGGTGCAGAAGAGGGCTGGAGTTTGGCAGGACACCTGTATACATTCATGGCATCTTGAGTAAGTAACATAGTACCTGCTAGGTAAATTGAGTCAATCAGGAGAAAGTACCAGGACACAAACAAGAACTCTGGCAGGAGAGTTTATTGGAAGAGAAAACACACAGGACAGTCCCCTAATTCAGGATGGAGGACCTGTCAGTCTACAGGCTGTTGGCTAGGAGCTTTTTTAGGGGGTTTGGGGGATGTGGCAGGCAGGAAAACATTTTTAAACAAGTTAGGCAGGAGAGAGAGCCCAGGGCTTATCAGAAGGAACAGCCTCTGTCAAACTGACGCCTTACATCAGCCAGGATCTGGGTCATGGGATAAGGGGCCTGTTTATTTTCTAAAATTATCAAAAGGGAAGCAGGCTGTGCTGAAACAGCTCTTGCAGCAATCAGGTCTTGGGTCATAGGTGTAGAGAGTCTGTTTATCTTGTCTGCAGATGGTCAGGGTGCTCAACTCAGTACCTGTATTTTCAGAGGGCTTGCAAAACCATGAGGCCCTGTTGCACTGGGGAGAGGGTTGCTGCAGATCTGAACTTTAACAGTACCTGGAATTGAGGGAAACATTCCTGGACCCTCTTTCACAGTACAGCTGGGGATGCTTGGGGGTACAGATCTTCCTGTTATAGACAGGGTGGTCACATGGAAGAAGATTATGGGCAGCTGTCTTGGAGTTTAGGGTGCAGCAAGTACATACAGAAGCCCATAGAACAGTCATAGCTTCACAGCAACCTTAAGTCAGGACCCAGGCCAGGATCCAAGGGATAAGTGTTCCCAGTAGACAGCAGTAGCAGCAGCTTTTGAACTGCCACAAAATAAAGGAGGAAGGCCCCCAAAGATCACTATATCCCATCATCGTTAACCATTATTCAGGGGTTTTTATTTTAACATCCCTAGATCCATTTATGGGAAGTATGCAGAGGACTAGGAAAGCTGCTAGAACAGAAGGGAAGGGACAGCAAGGGTGGTCTGAGGTCTGTCATGTCAATCCATTTGATGGCATTTTGTTTACCCAGTCAGTCCTGATAACGTCAGCAGGACTACTAGGTGACAAAGAACAGATGGAAGCATCCAGCCCCCAAGATCAGCAGATGAGGGGGATGTATGGGAAAGCAGAAACAGCACTTTTCCATGCCTCACCTTCTAGTACGGAAATTTATCACAGCCTTTTAAGATTTTTATTTTCACTGGCAAATATTTCATGTAATGATTAGTGACTTGAACTAGTCACTATTATAAACCTGGGATGGCGCATGTCTCCCTCCCCCTTTAAAGAATATCTCACTTAAACAATTGAAAGTTAAAATTAACTAGATGATGAGAATGGAATTCCAGAGGACCTGAGTCTGTCCCACAACCCATGGCTCCAGGTCTGATAGGAATTTGCAGTTTTCCTCCTTTGGTTGTCTCTAGTTCTAAATGTTCCACAATAAAAAATGGAGGTGCTGGAACTGTAGCTGAGTTAGTAGAGTGCTTGCCTAGCATGTGCGAAGCCTAAAGCCCCGGATCGTATCCCAGTTCCTTGGCATGTGCCTGTAATCCCAGTACTCCAGAGGTGGAAGTTGGAGGCCAGACTGCCTCTGTTTAAAAAACCCCAACCAAGCAAAGAAATGAATAAAGGGTGCTTACTGTTACAGAAGCTATTGTGCAGCTTATAGAACCAAAATAAGTTTGAAATTAGTTTAGGAATTGTTTTTATTTTTATATTTTATTATTTTTATTTTATGAGTGTATTGCCTACATGTGTTTAAGTTCACTGGGGTCGTGCAATACCCATGAAGGTCAGAAGAGGGTGTCATCTGATTCCCTGGAACTGAAGTTACAGATCCTTGTTAGCCACCATGTGGGTGCTGGGAACCGAACCTGGGACCTCTGCAAGAGCAGTCAGTGCTCTTAACCACTGGTCGATCTCACCAGCCCCGTTTTTGTTCATTTTTATTATGTGTATGTGCAGAAGTTCCAGCAAGGGCTCAGGTTGAAGTCAGAGGACAACCTGTGGGAGTCAGTTTTCTCTTTCCACTATGTGAGCTCCTGGGAATTGAACTCAAGCCATTAGGTGTGGCAGCAAGGGCCTTTACCCACTGAGCCATCTAGCTGTCTCTAAGAATTATTTTTATTATTTATTTTTGCAATACTGAGAGTTGAAATAGGCAGTTTGCATGCTTCCACTGAACTATATTCCCTAGTCATTTCTTTTCTTTCCCTTTTTTTTCAGTCTTTTCTTCTCCTTTCCCCCTCCCTCCCTTTTTCCCCCTCCTTCTCTATCTTCCATCTGCCCTTTTTTAAGACAAGTTCTTAAAGTTTTCCAAGCTGGCCTGGACATCACAGTATAGCCCAGGCACACCTTGTGAGCTTGGGATCCTCTTGCCTTGGCCTCCTCAATGCTGGGATAAAGGGCGTGCGCCACCTCGCCTAGCTAAGAATTCTTTTAAATTAAATAAAAGCACTGAAGAACAGGAGCGCTGGAAAAGTGGAGGGGATGAAAAGTAGAGCAATAACGGGGGCGATTACGAAATGACACCTATGTCCTTTGCGGGGGCCAGGCGTCCCATTCATATTTGCTGAAAGGAGGAAAGAATGAGACACCACCTAGCAGTTAATTCTGTACAGGCAGCCTTAAAGTGCTATCCTCTGGGTGGCCTGGGCAGTTAGTGTACGGATTCAATTGCCAAGATGGCGCGGCCCATGGGAAAGCCGTGCTAGAACACTGCCAGAAACCGATGAGGAACGTACAGAGGCGTCCTGTAACGTCATCGGCGTCTCGAGTGACGACATCCGTGAGGCAATTACGAACAGGTGCAGCCATATTGCCCTCAAGCGGCCACCGTAGGGGCTCGATTGTCAAGGTGGCGATGCACTAGGAAGAGCCACATCCTAGGCGCGGCCATGTTTCCCGGAACTTACGGTCTTAGCTACCTTACGGACTCGATGGTCAAGATGGCGGCGCCTGGGAGACGATCAAGGCTTTATGTGGGCGATTTATTTGTTTGCCAGTGAAGCGTCGCTCTGAGGAATAGGAGTGCGGTGCGGCGAAGGCGGGACCAGAGGCGGAAGTGGTTGTGGAACCGCCGCGGACACTGCGGAGGGGCTTGCTCAGGTTCGCCGGTTGCGGTCCGGAGTCGGAGCGCTGTGAGCAGAGATATGGTGAGTACCTGGGCGGGAGCGGGGTTCAGAAGTAGAGGGCGGTGGGTTGGCGATGCCTGTTGGCAGGCACACGGGGCTTGTAGTGAGCGGTACCCCGAGTCTATAGGTTAAGGGTGCGTGAGAAGAATGATGGAGTTTGAGGGGAACCAGCTGAGAGTTCTGTGATGAGCCGTTGGGGTCCACAGTGGAAGTTGAGTGGGGATTCCAGATGGCAGTTCCGTGGGAAACCTTCACGTGAGCTTTTTGGTTAGAGGGATAAGGACTTAGCCATGAGCGAAGTGGGCAGGCTCTGGGGAACCGGCAGGGAGGTGGGATCTGTGTAAATTACTAGGACCTGTGAGGAACCTAGATGGGATGATTGCGGAGTAAATAAAGTGGTACCCGCGTAGAACTTCTGAAAGGGTTTGGAATGTGATGAGTGAAAGTATGTGATGCGCCGTTAAGGGAGTATGGCTAGAGTGACAGGATGTCAGTGGGGTGAATGATGGGAGGTCTGGGGCAGAGTGATGGAGATGGAGGAGTAATGAGGCAAGGGGTTGGGCATGAGGATCTGTGGGAACTATGATGGAGAGGAACTATGGTGGAAGCTGTGAGAGGAAATACTTAGAATGGGGATTTGTTGTGAGCTATGGTAGAGCTGTAATGGGGAATTTAGGAGCCATCATGGGGCACATCCCACAGGAGGGAGATGGTTCGGACCCGGAGCCTCCAGATGCTGGGGAGGACAGCAAGTCTGAGAATGGGGAGAACGCCCCCATCTACTGCATCTGCCGCAAACCGGACATCAACTGCTTCATGATGTGAGCTAGGGAGAGGTGGGTGGGCTGATGCCCGGCAGGGTTGGGGAAAGCTGATGAGGCACACACCTCACATCTCTGTCACCTTGCCCCATCCTCTGCAGTGGATGTGACAACTGCAATGAATGGTTTCATGGTGACTGCATCCGGATTACTGAGAAAATGGCCAAAGCCATCCGGGAATGGTACTGTCGGGAGTGCCGAGGTGAGGCCTGTGAGTGAAAGGCACTCTTCAACAGGTGGGGGGAAGCCATATGTACTGGATTGTGGGTAATGGTATTCTCTATGGCCTTAGTGATTGTTGGTCTGTGGTGAGTTGGAATGCTGCCTCCATTGTGAACAGTAATGGAGGAGCCTACTGGAATGGGCAGTTCTGTCCTAGAGCAGGGGCCAGACAGTTAGATGGGCACAGGAACAGAGAGAGGTTCTTGGATCATTCAAGGCCTTCCTACAAAACCACCTTGGTACCATTCTTTGCCCCACAGAGAAGGACCCGAAGCTGGAGATTCGATATCGGCACAAAAAGTCCCGAGAGCGGGATGGCAGTGAGCGGGACGGCAGTGAGCCCCGGGATGAGGGTGGAGGGCGCAAGAGGCCTGTCTCAGATCCAGAACTGCAGCGCCGGGCAGGGTCAGGGACAGGGGTTGGGGCCTTGCTTGCTCGGGGTTCTGCTTCGCCCCACAAATCCTCTCCACAGCCTTTGGTGGCCACACCTAGCCAGGTAAGTGGCTGCAGTGGTTGGGATGAATGAAGTTCTAATTTTAGGCCTTGCCTGGGTTCCTGATCTCTACCCTGGACATGGTCTCCTAGCATCACCAGCAGCAGCAGCAACAACAGCAGCAGCAACAGCAGCAGCAGCAGCAGCAGCAGCAGCAACAGCAGCAGCAGCAGCAGCAGCAGCAGATCAAACGGTCAGCCCGCATGTGTGGTGAGTGTGAAGCATGCCGTCGTACTGAGGACTGTGGCCACTGTGACTTCTGCCGTGACATGAAGAAGTTTGGGGGCCCCAACAAGATCCGGCAGAAGTGCCGGCTTCGCCAGTGTCAGCTGCGGGCACGGGTGAGCATGGACAGAGCTGGGCAGGATCAGGTCGGGAGGGCATGGCTGGAAGGTCCAGGTAGGGCTGCTTGAAGCTACAAATCTGGGGGTGGGAAGCTGGGGGCAGGCAGGTGGGGTGGAGCCTGATTAGATCCAGACAGGTGGGAAGAAGCCTAGCATGTCCAAATACATGCTACATGATAAAGTATAACTGACTGGAAGGAGAAACCCCCAACTGGCCATGTATTTGTAGGTGGGCAGGCATGCCAGGGCACAACAGGTAAAAATAAGCATTTCCTAGTGATAAGAAGTAGGGATGCAGGTACATCTAGGCAGACATGGCAAGGATAAGTCATTGGGGCTAGGACAGGGCCATCCTCCATTTCCCTGGGGCTGACCTAGGCCTTCCTCCTGCGCACAGGAATCGTACAAGTACTTCCCTTCCTCGGTGAGTCCAGCCCCCCAGGGCGGGGCAGGGCATGCGGGCAGGGCGGTCAGGGCCAGTCCTGAGATTCTGCCCCGCAGCTCTCGCCAGTGACACCCTCAGAGGCCCTGCCAAGGCCCCGCCGGCCACCGCCCACTCAGCAACAGCCACAGCCATCCCAGAAGCTGGGGCGTATCCGTGAAGATGAGGGGGCAGTGGTGTCATCAGTGGTCAAGGAACCACCAGAGGCTACAGCAACACCTGAGCCACTTTCAGATGAAGACCTAGCACTGGACCCTGATCTTTACCAGGACTTCTGTGCTGGGGCCTTTGATGACCATGGCCTGGTGAGCAACAGGAGCATTCTGCAGTGGGGGAGAAGGGGGAGGAGGCAGAGGGTATGCGCACTGCTTTGAAAAAATGTGTAGGTTGGTTTTGATGTCATGAGTTGGACATGTGGATCAGTGTATACCCTATTTGCAGCCCTGGATGAGCGACACAGAAGAGTCCCCATTCCTAGACCCTGCACTTCGGAAAAGGGCCGTAAAAGTGAAGCATGTGAAGCGTCGAGAGAAGAAGTCTGAGAAGAAGGTGATGGAGAGGGTAAAATGGGCATTAAAAGGCAGATGGTGGGACAGGGAGGGAAATGCAGAGGTCAAGGGCTAAGGAATGGAGGGGTAGATAGGGTCTGAAGCTGACTTCTACCCTGACCTGATATGTTTTGCCCCTTAGAAGGAAGAGAGATATAAACGACATCGACAGAAGCAGAAGCATAAGGACAAATGGAAACACCCAGAGAGGGCTGATGTGAAGGACCCTGCATCGCTACCGCAGTGCCTGGGGCCTGGCTGTGTGCGTGCTGCGCAGCCTGGCTCCAAGTATTGTTCAGATGACTGTGGCATGAAGTTGGCAGCCAAGTGAGTCTCTCCTGGGGCATTGAAGGGAGTCAGACAGTACAGAGTGGGGTACCACTAGAGTTCCCTGTATTTACAGTCAGTTATCTATACACTATTTGATCAAACCCTCATCTGTCCATCCTCCTACCATTCAGCCATTAACTCGTCTTTTCATCGCCCATCCATTTTCTATCCCTTAATCACCCCACTTTCTATCTGAATCCCCATGTCTCCTTGCAGCCGCATCTATGAGATCCTCCCCCAGCGCATCCAGCAATGGCAGCAAAGCCCTTGCATTGCTGAAGAGCACGGCAAGAAGCTACTCGAACGCATTCGCCGTGAGCAGCAGAGTGCCCGCACCCGCCTTCAGGAAATGGAGCGTAGATTCCATGAGCTTGAGGCCATCATTCTGCGTGCCAAGCAACAGGCTGTGCGTGAGGACGAGGAGGTAAAGAAGCAGGAGTTCAGCAGGACAGGATCCGGTACCTCATCCTACCCTGCTTCACCATTCCCTCCACTCTGTACAGAACACTGAGAACGACAGTGATGACACAGACCTCCAGATCTTCTGTGTCTCCTGTGGGCACCCCATCAACCCACGTGTTGCCTTGCGCCACATGGAGCGCTGCTACGCCAAGGTCAGGGTGTCATCTCGAGGGAGTAGATGTTACGGGAACATCAGTTCACCCATGGGGGACAGATGTGTTGCTTGGGTGGTATATTGAGAGGGCACCCACAGTTCCTTTTATTTGTGCTCATCCCTTCAGTATGAGAGCCAGACATCCTTTGGGTCCATGTACCCCACACGCATTGAAGGGTGAGTAAGGTTACCATGTGGACTTAGAGAAGGGTGGTTAAGGGTGAAGAAATGGAATATGTGTGGAACTGGGGCTGGAAAGGGGTATGGGCAAGGATAGGTGGGCCTTTGAGGTAGTCAAGGCGCTACCCAAGTTTCTAGCTATAAGGTCACTGGGTAAACATGACCCTCCTGTTCATTTTCTCTACTCTATCTTCAGGGCCACCCGACTCTTCTGTGATGTCTACAATCCCCAGAGCAAAACATACTGTAAGCGGCTCCAGGTGCTCTGTCCTGAGCACTCACGAGACCCCAAAGTAAGGTTTTCCTTCAGTTGTCCTCATCCAGCCTCTTCCTGCCTCCTGTCACATTCATTTCTTACTTTCTTCTCACCTTCCTCCTCATTTTCTTGACAACTTCCATTTCCCTCCCTTTTCTGTTTCATCATCTTCAATTTCTCCCCCTTCCTCTCCTTTCCATTTTCCCATAAACTCTCCATTCCTCCTCCCTCATCACCCCTGCCCTTGGTGTCCCTGCAGGTGCCAGCTGATGAGGTGTGTGGTTGTCCGCTTGTACGTGATGTCTTTGAGCTCACAGGTGACTTCTGCCGCCTGCCCAAGCGCCAGTGCAATCGCCATTACTGCTGGGAGAAGCTGCGGCGTGCAGAAGTGGACTTGGAGCGCGTTCGGGTGGTAGGTTTTGATGCTGGATGTGACCAGGGTCAGACTGGGCTTCAGGAATGACTTCTCATGGCTCCCTCCCTCTCCTCTCTTGGCAGTGGTACAAGCTGGATGAGCTATTTGAGCAGGAGCGCAATGTACGCACAGCCATGACGAACAGAGCAGGGTTACTGGCCCTGATGCTGCACCAAACAATCCAACATGACCCTCTCACTACCGACCTGCGCTCCAGTGCTGACCGCTGAGCTTCACCAACCCTGAGCCCCTCACGACCTGCATTCCAGTTAGGGGAGCCGCCCTGAATCCACCAGTTTTCTGTTCATCTGTTTCTTCTACTACCCCTTAGTTTTGTCCCTGTGCCCATCTACCTTTTGACTGCCATCTGCCCTTACCAAAGGGTCTCTGCTTTCCCTGTCATTGTTTGTCCTTCTGTCCCTTTTCTCTGTGCTTGGGTGACTCTGGAGTTTACTCACCCTTGCCTACACCTCCACCCTGGTTTTGTTAATAAAAATTTGAACAAGGGAGAAAACTGGATGGTCCCTGTGTTTGTTCTACTTGCAATTTCGTTCCCAACGCCAGGACAAGATGGGGGTGCCACAGGTGTATTCAGAAGTGGCTGTGGTACATGTACAGGCTTTGAGTATACAGCTGGCACTCATTCTATGCTCCCTTGGGCCATGAACGAATGAGCTATTTGAGGAGTACTGTACTATCAAGCTTCCAGACTTGAGACTAACTTATCACTAACCCTGTGAGTAGTGGGTGCACTGCCTCTGTACCTGGACACAACATCCTCCAGACCAGAGGTGCATTTGGTCATCCAGGTCTTGGTCCCCCATCCCTGTGTTATACCCCACCCCCCAAAGAAGATCCACTAAGGAGATGTGTTTACAACAGAAGCCCCACCCCGTCCTCGCCCACTGGGCTTTTGTGGGATGGTCAAGGAGTCACTTAGTGCCCTAGGTTACTGCAGCACTTCATGCTCCCTCCCTGGTTCTGGATGGAGCCTGGTCAGTACAGACCCTGTTTCGGATTGTACTAGGAGGTACTAGCCCTAGGGAAGACTCGGAGGGACTGTATCCACTAGGAAAGGAAGTGGGCAGGCACAACCCCAGGCTTCCTGGCCCCTGCTATTGGTGGAGACAGAAACCGCCAGTAAGCCAGGCTGTCCACGCCCTCCTTTGGGACTGAACTGTGCATGCGCTTTCGGGACCAGCAGCGTGGGAAGGACGCGCCTTAGGGAGGTGACGAGCACCGACCGGCACCAGAAAGGGACGCCAGTGGTCCGCGCAGGCGCAGCAGGTACCCAGGAGCTGCGCGCCTCTGTGGAACCACACTACGCAGGCGCAGGAGCCTCCCTACTGAGGGCATATTCGTCGAGGCAGCGCCGGGGAATAGTGTTGGGGGGATTGAGCCCGAAAGGCAGGCAGGGGATTTCCGGTTCCGGGAGTAACCGATGGCAGCTACTGCTTCGGTGGAGGTGGAAGAGGAGTAGGACCCGGCGGGACGCGGGCGGGCGCCTCTCCATGGGTCCGCGGGCCTAGAGTGGCCGGAGCTGCGGGCCTGGTGCCAAACTGGTAAGACAGCCGTGGGAGTGGAACTAAAGGGCTCTCGGGAGGAGGCTGGGAAGGAACTGAGAAGCCGAACACTGACGGGGAGACGTGCAGGGCCCTCGGCCCGGAGGAGGAATGGCGGCTTGCTGGAGCGGGGACAGGAAGGAATGTGGCTGAGCACCATGACAGGTAGGAGTGTCGAGATCCAGGGACCAGGACGGAGAGATCAGAACGAGCAAGGAGACCTCAGACCTCCTAAGAGGAGAGAAATGGGGTTCTGAAGCTGATAGAAGAGGGGACCCTCCCGTACTGAAGCCTGAGAGAAACGGGAGGGTTGGAATAAAGAAGAGAGAGGCTCATGGAGGATGAGAAAACGTAGGGTGGGAAGACTGACAGGGTCCTAGGACACGAATGGAGAAACTGGGAGGGGGATCAGCATGCTGAGGAAGAGTCGTTTAACAGGATGGTAAGAGAGAACTGGAAATGAGGAAGTTGAAAAAGAAGGACCAACTTTTTGACTGTTGAGAGGAATAGAGATGTTTGAAGGCTGAGACTGGAGAGTAATCGTGGGTCAGAACACTGAGGGAAACTAAGACTTGCGGGGGATGTCCACTCGGTAGGCTTCCAGGGTTAGGAATGGAAAGAATTGGGGGGGGGTTCAATTCAGTGATACGGAGGAGTTGGGGACTGTCACACAGGTAATGAAGATGTTGAAATTAGCACTAAAATAGCAGATAAAAGGACATGAAATAGCGGGGAAAATGGGACAGTTAAAACACTGAAAGAAACTGGGAACTCAGGTCAAGGAAGATGGAAAAAAATTGGAAGGTTAGAACGTGAAGTAGGGGACTGAGGACAAGATTGTGAATGGGGGCAATGAGTGATGACAAAGAATAGGGATAGGGCCGGTAGGTCTAAGACTAGAGTGTCACCTGCACCAAAGACACGTAGGTATGATGGCAAAAACAGGTCTCAGAGTTGGTGGTGTGAGAACAGATGGACCATTCTTTGTCTGGGAATTGGAGGTAGAGAGAGTCAGGACACTGAGGATGGGTACGTCATGGGTTGAGGATGGGGAGCAAAGGAGGCTAGTGGGTCAGAAAGGATGAATGAAAGGCTCCTGAAGCCAGGACACAGAGGAATAAGATGAGAATGGAGAAATTTCAATATATGGGCTGGCTGCTTGTGCAGGCTTTGAGGAGGGGTAAGGATACAAGTGATTTTTGTGGGCTAGGAAACAGTTTTATTACTTCCTAGAGCCTCATTTTCTCTCGTACTCTACTTTTCACTAATCTTTCGGGCTTCTATCCTTTGCTAAAGCATCCATGGCTGAGGAATGGATGGACTGCCCAGCCCTGGGCCCTGGCTGGAAACGACGTGAGGCCTTTCGAAAGTCAGGTGCCACCTGTGGACGCTCAGACATCTATTACCAGAGGTACTGGGTGGGTTGTGGGTTGTGTCTGTGGGGTTGAGCTTAGATAGGGGTTAGAGTAAAAGGGTGTGTTGAAATTTATGGATTGTCTTAGTTACTTTCTATTAATGTGATAAATGCTGACCAAAACCAACTTGGGGAGGAAAAGGGTTTATTTCATCTTACTCTTCCAACAGTCCATCACTGAGGGAGATCAGGGCAGGAACTCAGAGCAGGAATCTGGAGGCAGGAGCTGAAGTGCAGACCATGGAGGAACACTGCTTACTGGCTTGCTCCCCTGGCCTGTGTTCAGCCTGATTTCTTATACAAATCAGGACCACCTGCCCAGCGGCGGTACCAACCACACAGTGGGCTGGACCCTTCCATATTACTCAACAATCAAGAAAATGCCTCAGACGTGGCCACAGGCCAGTCTGATAGAGGTAATTCCCCAAATGAGGTTCCCGCTTCCCAAGTATGTCATGTTGACAATTGAAGCTGTCCAGCTGTCCAGCATATGGGTGGAGTCTGTATGATTCAGAGTTTTGTGTTTGCATATTCATCTACCCTTAATAAAATTTATTTGACCAAAGTCAATACTCACAGTGCATTTGTGGTTATTCACACACACATATACAGAGCTGCTAAAATTTTGAGTTGTGTAGTGTATGCATTCCACACCAAATTGACTTTTGGGGGGCTTTTTTTGTTTGTTTGTTTGTTTTTTTTATACACTATAAATGAACATTATTTCCATAGTCTAGTTAGTTCCATATTTTTGTGCTTCTTTTTTTTTTGGCAAATTTGTTGCTTACAATGACCTCCAAGGACTGGAAAGATGGTTCAGTAGTTAAGAGCACTAGCTGCTCTTGCACAGGACCAGGATTTGGTTCCCAGCACCCACGTGGCGACTAACAACCATCAGTAACTCCAGTTCCAGGGGACCTGATAACTGCTTCTGGCTCCTGTGGTGCACTTAAATACATGTAGGCAAAATACTCATATGCATAATACATTAAAAAAAAATCAAAAAGGCAAATTTAAATGACCCCCCCCAATGTAGTACTAATGTTTTGAGTGTAAAAAGACTATCATGCGCCTTTTCTTACTGTCAGATAAGCTTCT